CCGTTTGTTCGGTATTAAAACCGTCGGATTGCGGGTTCGTTAATTGCTCACACGAACCACCTGTGAAATTTTATTGGCGGTCCTTTCGCTTCGAGTTGACGTTTGTGTGCGCTAGCTTTATTATTTCGCTGGACTGGACGAGATTTAGGTGTTTCATAAAATTGATCGAAGCCTCGACAAACGAAATAAAAACATTCAAAATTTTTCTTTGCTAACTTTCAACAGAGAGTAACCAAAATTTTCATTTACAGTTTCATTGGTATCTCCGTATATCCTTTTTTAAATTCAATTGTAAAATGCCATGGATTTATATTTTTCATATGGCACATCAAAAGGGAACATCTATCAAAATCAACAAGCTGCACGCAGCCCACGTCCTTAAACCCCGAGCAATTGATTAACATAAAGAGATAGAGATGTAAAAAGATCAAGTAACCAATAAAAAACGCTCCTACAAGTATCAGGGTCCCTCCTCGCGGGAGCCCCAATTTGCCATCGATACAGGCACTGCCGGCCCTCGCTAAAGGGATAAAGAGGGCCACCCTTTGTGTATCTACCCACAAATCACTGCGGCGGCCACTCAATGAGAGCCGATTACCTCAAGAATGGACTTACTTTTTTATTGTATACTTTTGTCAATTCTATTGTCTTTTCAATCTATGGCTATCAGACTGATTTGTTACCTTGATGTAAATAGTTTAAATAAGATTTTTAAGGGTCAAATGACCTTTACGAACATATTACTAAGGAAACATATTTAAGACGTTGCAAGAAAAATCTTTTATTCGAGGACATTTTTTCTTGTATGATGATGTCAGTAACAAATAGAGTAATAAGAGTAACACAGTACAACAACATAACAGCCCTACTGGACTTGTACTCTATACGTCCGGCCTGTACAAATATGTTGTCTGCCGGTCTCTACGATGTTTACTCTCCTGTCTATATGTCTTTACATATTGACTGTGTACTTACAACTCATTTATTGGTCACTAAGGGAATTCCTCAGTATAGATTTTTCAAATAAAATTTACTCTAATAGAGACCACTTAACATTTGTCAATCTGTGCGGTTGTGACTTTACGAAGTGTGAGTTTTTATTAAAGACTAAGATGAAAGTAAAAATGTATGAAGTACTAAAGACAATCGTTAGAAAAGATTTACAATAAGAAATAAATCGTAAGTGAATTTGTCTGCATCCGACGCGCCGTCAGAAGGCGTAGGAGTGTGGAGGGGTGCGGAGGGCGTCGCAAGGCGTCGGATCGGATCCCGCGACGGATTAACCGGCAAATTGGTTTAAGCGAACCCGCGTCGGTACAACGAATCAATCCAAGTTGCGGTTATCTGAATTGTTACAGATATGTGGATCTATTTTAAATTATTTATTTCAAAAAATACATTTTACAACAATTAAAATAAAAAACGAGATATAGAAACTGTTTACGGACAATAAAATATCAAATTATTGAAGTTCTTTCGATTTTATTTAAAAGGAAACTCGAGTCTTTTTTGCTTAATACAACTTCACTGACCTGAAGATTTACAACCAATATGAAGTTGTACCCAACAAGTTTGGTCATTCAAATGATATTGAATAGGAATTTGATTGTAAATCATGAGTAACTATTAAACTAATAAATGTTTAGCTTTCCTACCATCTTACAATAAAGTCTTTTTCTATACTTTGTATGCCCGTTTTCAATTCCAATAGATTCTAATAAGATTAGTGATGTCACACGGATGTTAGATAAAATAGTTTGTGGCCTATAATTGGGGTTCAGGTCGCACCACGGTCCGTTATCACATCGCTTTTCATTGGAAAACATACCTTATTACCCTTACATTACAGTTTCTCTGTTGTAAACCTTATTCCTTCCCTGGTCATCACTCGCATGACTAGGCAATATCGGCTCGGAAGGTGACGTAGGGTGAGCGTGATAGTAGGTGAACTCAATAGCACCGGGCGTTAGGTCGGAAATGTTTTGTTAGGGTAAACGAATAGTTTTCTCCGATCGGGCCACGGGTTCACAAATTGGATCGGGCGCGAGTAAATCAGGGTAAGCCAGTAATTGAGTCTTAGAGGATCATTCGATGCGGCAGCGGTCGCGCGGTCAAAGGATTATGATGCCTCGTATCGTCTATTGATCAAAGATAGTTCGAATTTGTTTTGGGTCACAACCGTGTCTAACGAAAAGATAACATTTTATGACTCAATATAAATAAAGTATGGTAGTAGACCGAATCGAATCAAATTTTACACTTACTAAGTGTAGACTCTTACGCGTGACTTCACCAGTTTTGTCGCACAATAACAAAAACAAATGAATTTAAACCAGGTATGAAGCCGTGCCAATATATTTTATAGTAAGCATTTTACTGGAATTATCCAACGTGAAACACAAATGATCGGAATACACTTTACATGGCACACAGCGCTCCCGGCGGTTTATGTTTAAACAGGATACTGTTTGGCGACCGTCTGCCAAATAATGGACGTCTGATTACATGCCTTTGACTTCTTAAGACTTCATCGAGATGAACAAACAGTCTGTACATTATAAAAAGAAGACAATTTAATTTTGTTTGCTTATAAAACCATAACACACGTTCGATTGTTATTAAAGCAATCTCTTAGTGGCTACTTAACCACTTTGAATACGGCACTAACTTGTTAATAAGAAATCTAGAACTAAAATTCTATTTAAGACACGTGGGAATAGTCTTTATCGTTTACCCTAATTAGTGTTACTTATTAATATGTTTTCTTATGTACATATCTATTGTGTCAAGAAGTATGTATGTAGATAGCATTGTTAAGTGCAGTTTATATTAAATCCTCGGCGGCGACGCTTGGAACGTCTTAGCATAATTAGCTGAGAGGGGCTGTTTATTGCTAATATTAGTTGTTAGGATTAATACTAACGGGGGAGGGGGTGGAGTGAGCCTTTTAACGGCTATTATCATAAGTCTTGAGTGTCGAGGATATTTAAAATTGACGACTTTTTATTTGCAGAAGTCCTATATTAGGTCTTATATTGTGCTTATACTCTAATAAATAAAACTTTTCATCATTAAATAACAACCTTTTTGCAATGAGCGGAATGTTTTAATATAAATTCAGTTTATTTTCTTTTAATCGACTAAAGTTATGACAGCAAAAATTAATCAAGAAAATAAAATATCGAACGTCAACGTTTCGTCGAATAGAAAAACTGTGCTCTAATTACTAAGCTCGATATATGATTTTTAATTTAGACAATGAACAACTTTGCAAGAAAAGAAAGACGCTTCGTTAATATCGTTGACGTATCGTACACGTGTCGTGAGTAGAAAGCGGTAGTCGCGGGTAATGTTGATCTTAAAAGTTGGCGGCTCGGATCAAATGGTAATTAGCCGCGAGTTCAGCTCGATACTATAACTAATTTTATGTTAATACATTATTATCCAGCCAACAACTTTAAATATACTTGTAAATACAAAAGCTTGTTTTTTTATTTAGTATATGTAAAAACTTGTTGTTCATACATTAATGAGTGTAAAATATTGTTCGCCTTTTCAATTTGCCTATGACTATGGCCTAGTCACCCCTTACATAGGGTAGGCTCCGAAGCTCCTCAGTGGGAACGTATAATGAGGTGATGATGATTCATTTACCTCCTTGTTCCAAATAAGAAATACTAGGGTCCAACTTCCTATGGGTCATACTTTCTATGTAAATTAATTATCGACTTAGTATTTCCAGTCCTTAATTTTCGTCCAATAAATAATGCTATAAAAAGGCTTTGGCGTTTCAAATTAACTTAGTAAATAGATTCCAAACTTAATATAATATAAACAATGTCATAACTTTGCTTTGCATAAAATATATTCAAAGAGAGACAATCGTAGTCTCGCCGCGACTCATATCGGCGAAGCTCGATGCGAATGCACAAATCCAAAAACATTATCCCGCCCGCGAAGACGCCCCCGCCCCCGCCCCCGCCCCGTCTGGGATGCGGGCAAATCTTCGAATTAATTTTACTGCCGAAATATGCAAATCGCGAGATATAGCCGCCTAATAACATGTACAAAAGAGTGGTGACTTGAACGAGTAACACTGCAAACACTAATTCAGCGCAGAAAGATATTGAGGAGTTTAATACCTATTTACATTTGTCCTCTAAGAAGCTTTTGTAAAGTTGGCAATCTATACGGGTTTTAGTGGCTTATATCTTAAAACATCTATTAGTTCAGATTTAAGGAGTTGAGTATAAATACGAAACAGTTTATGAGGCCAAAATAAATCTAGTAATAGGCTTGAAGTCCAAAACCTTTCCAATGTTTTTTTATTAATAAACACGTTGAAACTAACTAAACATCCCAAAGTTTACAAATGACACCTTAGAACATCGTTATTAACTATCGCGTAGGTACTAAACTAAATAAAACTCTGGCGTGTCTGCGAAAATATAAAAGTCTTGTCTAATCTATGTCTTAATCGTTACCTCGGGCTAACATTATAGCCGCTTCGAGGAGCTTAATAGGTAACAAAATTTACCGTGATAGTAGAAAATACACGATGCTTACGTGCCGCCGCTACCGGGAACTTATCACGCGCGGTATGCAGGTGTTTGCTTTAAGTATACGACTTTAAAACTTCAAGCTAATAAATAACTTGAGAGTTATTAAGCACGTTACATACTAAGTGAACACTAACGGCATCACATGATGACGTTATTACTGAACTTTTTCAATAAAAAAAAAAAAAACAAATACTAAAAATAGTTTTTTTTAAAAGTACTTAAGTATTAGCAGCTCTAGAGCTTAACCCAGAAATGTAAACCGTACTGCTCGGCGTAAACGACGCAAGCCTATCATCAGACAAACGACTATAATCCTACTCGGGTAAACCGAATATGGTTGAGATGGCTCGAGTACCAGAAAGTTTCCCATACGTTTCAAAATTAAATTATTCGTGATTACTGTATAATTAAAAAGAGTTTCCAGTTCTGTTTACTAACTTGCAGAGTACAGTTTGGTTGCCGTTATCAAAAAGTCCAGCGCGACCCCATCGTGCCGGCAGGTCTACTAGCGTGGCGCCGCGAGCACCGTACACGCATAGCCGGCCTCCACACGCGCTGCTCATCACGCGCTCCACACTGAATTCCGGCGGTGATAGAAGCTGCAAACGCTGCAACAAGAATAAACAGTTATAGTACAAGTATACGGAAAGTAAATAGAGCGCTTACTAAAAAGAATTGTCGCTAATGGTTCATAGGTGCTTATATGAAATTTCGCAACCAAGAAAATGTTACCGCAATGTGTAAATTTTGTTGTGAGCTCATATACTCTAAATTGCTTACTTAATTTAATAAAGGCAGTATTCAATTCTTTTTCATATTAAAAATAACAATTGTTAAACATTGTTAATTTGGGAACCCTAAAATGAGATTAAAATTTATGTCTAAATGACCTACTGGTCTTTTCAATGGCAAGAAGTTTGATAAAGCAAAGTAATTACAAAAAGGCAGTTAGTAATGCAAGTAATTTCCTATTGGATCGTGGTAATAGGAACTATCCGCGGGCGAGGCGCAGATATGATTAAGAAAGTTTTTTAATCAATAAGATGAGTAAAAAAAAGCGCCTGCGGCAGCGCGTCTCGCTTCCTGCAAAGCTTTTTTCTCTTTATTTCTCATTACGCCGCCTCCGAGCTTCCTCTTACGTCTTACTTATAATCGTTTATCGTTTGACGGCCCTCTCTCATCGCAGACTATTTTACACAAAATTGAAAAAGTTGCCTCCATTGTTGACTGAGAAAATTATGTACGGATAAATATTTATTGGTGTTACAAGAAACCAAATGAACCTAAAACCAAGTATTTACACATGTTGATATACAGTGGAAACTGTAAGACATGTCTGTATATGTATAAACCTAAAGAATCGAACTCACAATGATGTATGACTTGAATTTACAGTTTTGGTAATAAATTCCAGTACATTAAACTGTAACCGAATGAATGCACAACTTGTAGACCCTTGTCATAACATATTACTATGATATTGGAAACTAAATGATAAATCAACACATAATCTATATATTTATGTTTAAATTTCACCTTATATTTAACCACAAGGAAGTATTGTTAGCAAATATCTATAGAAAGCGAATATATGATTTTATTTCTTAACATCTCTTCTACAACCTTGTAACTTTAATATCCGTTTAAATTTATTTTTGTATACTACATATAATAATAATGTCATCATTCTTTTTTACATAATGATATAAAACTCCAATAATAAATAATACAAAAGGGTTGCGACAAAAGAGAAGTAGCACTGCATTAGGCAGTTATTATCGGGGGTGATCAAAACGATTTACCTATTTTGTGTCGTCGCGTACCCAGAACCTCTGCAGGAAGACAGGTGCTACAAACCAATTGATTCATTACTTAATAAATTATTTGATATAATAATGTATTTTCATAGTAATTGAAAGAGGTTTAGAGGTTTTTATGGTTTTGGGTTTAAAAAGCCTTCCTAGACATAGCTGTGATAAGTTTCATTGTAATCAAGTCTACCAATATGTCTACGACCGTAGCACCGTAGCCCTGCTACGGTTATTCTTAAGTACAAGATATTACTCTGCTGTTTTCTGATGTTTATTCAGAGTTTATTGGGTCTTAATGCAGTTTAAGACTAATTTAAAACTGGTTGCTACGAACTAATTTTTTTCCATTGATTTAAAAGTAAACAAAGCATCGGACAATTGGGATTCAACATCCGCGCCTCTAATGCCGTCCGAATAAATAAATTAGAGCCGTACAACAAAAATTATATATGCAAATATCTCACCGCAAGTATAATAAAAATAAAAGGGCCGGGGGAGTCGGGTGGATATTAAAACTGGAGATGCACGTACGGGGTTAAGCCGGCACACAATTAAACGAAGGTGGGTCGCCGGGGTGGCCAGGGGTGCGTTTTGTTTTTTTTACATATTTAATAAAATAATATAAAAATTAATATATTCTTTGCGCGTCCGTCCGCGTATCGCGATCGGTGTGCGCGACAGATATTTTATGTAGGTCGTTGTGTTGTGACGTGCCGTGCTACGTGACTGTGGAGACGCGCCGCGAAGATTACACAACATGTGCCTCAACAATTATTGCTACTGATTTATTTTTGACCACTCTACTGAATTTTTAATCCTACATTGTTGGTATCACAGACAGGAAGGATTACACACGTCTCAAATTAAATACAATTTAGATAAAAACAAAATGATTTAAAAACGTTTGTGAATTTAATCGCTTGGGGTTTCAAACTTGAAAACTGTGAATTATTTCTTACTCGTCAATGAGAAAATTTGGATGGATAATTGATAGAAAGTATGTCTAGAACAAACATCGCTTAATTGAACAGTTTAAATTACACTAGCAGCTTAACATTATTTATAGAAATAATTAAAGCAATATTTCTAGTAATTCTAACTTAAATATTTCTCTGAAGATTTAAAAGTAGACGTAAATTTTATTATCGCTACTCGATACTAGATGGCGCGACGTGCAACTTTTACGTCCCTTTGGGTCGTTCTTTGGTATTGTTACGCTAATGTGTATTTCATTTCCATATCTTAAATGTAATAAATGCAACAAACAAATATGATAACAAAAGCTTTATATAAACCAATTCATGACCGATTTTTATTTACTTTTCACCATATTTTGTAGAAGACATGACACTAAAATATTCTACCTGAGTGTTTTATTGACATCATATTTATATAAGAAAAATTTACGAATCTGTTAAAGAAATATGCAAAATTAAAATATTGTTACTGTAACAAAAAGCATTAGCTGCTCGATCGATTTAAAATAGCTTATTTCCGAATATAAATCACATTTTTATTGCAGCCGGCGAATGCCGTCGGATTCGGTGGCGGGAGATTAATCGACATAATATTACGAGTAAACCAACTGCCTAATAGCGCCTTCGCATTCCAAGAAAATATAATTCAAATATAATATCTTACATTGATTAACTAATTACTAATCAACAAATAACTGCTATCAAAGTGATTTAGTTTTAACCAAGGCTAACTAAGCACTGTTTAGCTGAAGATTGCTGAAAATAGAATAAAAAGCGAATTTTAGATGCACAATTTATTGACCATAGTTAGACTTATTTGGAGTTGTGAATTTGAGAAACAAAACGATTAGAAATAATGAAATCTGTAACTTGAAATTACAAGAAAAGGTTTAGTAAAAAGTATATCATGAAAGCGGATAACTTAGCCTCTAGGTTATTATTAACGTTAACAAAGTATTTATATCTGGGATACAGCACTTAACCTAAAGACGCTACAAGCAATGCTATTATCAAAAAAGCCCTCGCTTCTAACGCGGCGACCTCAATTCGAGCACACCTGTCCTCCAGGTAAGCAGCAATAGTTCGGCAAGTCCTCGCATAAATCACCTCTCAGGCACATCCTACTCTCAGCCGGGCCATTAGCATTTTTTATGCATAGAAATCGATCCGGCGACCGTCTAATGCCTCCCACGATACATTAATATCTTACTTTTTATGACTCTTCGGTAAAATTCTTCGAGATGTAAGACGAAAGTCTTGCTATTGTAAGTATAGCTCTATTGGATTGCATTAGAGTACATATTTCATTGTAACATTGGTTTCTAAGTCGCGTCCGTACGGAAGTTATGGGAGTTGCAGGAGTTGATAATAGGTGGCGCTGGCGATTTTCTTAACGCCTCCATTTTTCTTTCACGGGCACTTTGAGATTAAAAGTTTGGAAAATGAAATGAAAAGTTAGCGGGCCAGTTAGCGCGCGTTGTCGGGCGGCGCGCGGCTATCGGCCGGATTGGGGGACTGTTCGGAGCACGATTTTATAACTTTGTATCACTTCATGATATTTTATACTGTACTCGCAAGTTTTTTGAGATTATTTTTATTTAGTGCTATCATGCATATTGGGGGCTGTAACATTATAACACTTAAAATATCATTCGATTGGAAATGTCAAATGTTCCACGCTGACTTATTATTTTAAACATATATATACATATACAGTTAATTAATCACCAATGGCGATTAAATCACTAGACAAAGAACAGTGATACTATGCTATACAGAATGTGTAGTCAATATGTATTGGTGTAGATGAAAGAGAGCGGCCGTATCGGTGTCCGGCGAGAGCACAGACTCGATAACGAAGTGCCTGGGACGCTGCCAGCTCTTGCATGCCTTGCATTATCATATGCACATAATGCATACAATACAATAAAATGAATATTGTCTATATAATAAGAATATTCAATTTATTCAATAATTGCTAAAACAATAATTCTTTGCCGAATCCAACGACGAAATATAGTTAAATTAAATAGCGCAAAATTAATATCTAATGTTAAAGATATAGTAAAAATGTGATAAACTTTCATCAAACATATTCACTGTCTTCTCAAAGAAACGAACATCATTTTGTCTTCTCTTATAAGTAATGAATGATTGACATCTTTATATTTTTTTACTCTATTATTTTAATACTAACCAAAGTAGTATTTCTAATAGAAATAATATCATACGAGGGTGGATTGAAAAGTACTCGGCCTAACACAGATCCATTCAATTCTAAAAATCAAATCTACCCACATTATTTAGTTCAGTTCAAATTAGTTCATTGTGTGAAGTTTGGAACTTGTGCGATAATTAGTTGTGATTTTATAAATTTATTAACAAAGTAATTGGACATAATTTCCGCGAATGGAGCAAATCGAGCAGCGTGCCGTCATTAAGTACCTCCATAAGAAGGGGCTATCATCAAAAGCCATCCATGATGACATGGTCAGTACATTAGGCGATTGTTCTCTGTCATATTCATCCGTCAAAAAATGGATAGCAGAATTTAAGCGTGGTAGAGAGAGTGTGAAAGATGAACCCCGCTCTGGAAGGCCTTCGACGTCAACTACTGACGAAAATATTAAAAAGTACTTGATTTAATAATGGGAGACCGCAGATTAAAAATTAGAGAGATAGCCGAGATTATAGGCATCTCTTATGAACGAACTCAAAACATCATTGTCAGCGAGTTAGTTTCCACAACGTGTCTGCGAGGTGGGTTCCGCGACTGCTTTCAGTTGAACAAAAAAGGACGCGATTGACTATTTCACGCGA